AGTATTGGTGATGAAGGAGCAAGGATGATTAGTGAAATGAAACAATTGAATGAACTTTATATCCAAGATTGTTTTATTAGTAATGCTGGTGCCATCTCAATCAGTAGAATGGATAAATTAACACACCTAGATATTTCAGAAAATGAAATTCAGATTGAAGGAGAGTCAGTCATTCGTGATATGAAACACTTGTCTTATCTTTCAATTGAAGGTCAATGTTTATATGGTTGATTCATCTTGTTGTGTAGAATTGTCACCAATTTCTGTTATATTCAATTTCATTATTAGAGGCGCTACGAGAATAAATTTAATTGATTAGGTTTCTCTGAAACACATCACCTTAAATAATAATCCTTCGCTAACCAGTTTCTTCTTATCACTGCATCTTTGGCAAATTGCAACAAAATCACTTGTTTGGAGAATGAAGTTTATGGAACTTCTTTACTAGGTTTTGTCTACTGGCCACAATGTCCAATCACAAGCTGGTATTTGGAAGCAACTGAACAACATGGCAGTTGGTTAGAAAATTAATACAACAACCCATCATCAGGAAGTTTCTTTGACTGGAATCTTCTTCTTACATCTAAATCTCCAACAACAAAGAAACCAAGAAATTGGCAACAAAAAGAGGAAATCCTGTTGATGATGAAATACCAACCATCAAACCATAAACTCCAAAAGCTTTCCAAGAATTTACCAAGACGATACTACCAGCGGATCAGAATATGAGGAAGATGATGCATCAGAATCCACAAAGTGGAAGTGATGAATAAAGTGGCGACGAAATATCATCAGAAGAATAAATAATATTAAAATATTAATAAAATTGGCTCGACTCTAGTTGGAACAACGAATACATGGTACTGCCCACCGTCTATTCTTTACAAGCAATACTAACGATATTTAATTCACAAATTACTGAAACAGAATTTGTCTAGGGATTAGTGACAAATCGTAGTTAACAATAAGCTCTGTTCACATTTTTGTAATAATTTATTGTACACAAATGAAAACCTAAAACAACGTTTTACCAAATATATGTGACTTGCGATTGCTGACACTAACCAATCATCTTGAAGTATAAATTGTTAACAGTATTATTGTTGATGTACCGTAGCAATTATTTCGTGAAAGTTAAGGAAAAGGGAAAATTATTTTATCATGCAATACTCGACATGGCTTTGGTGATTCAAATTTGTTTTATTGGTAGGTTTAGATTTTAGTGGGTAAAATAGGAAAGAGTTTGGTAGAATTAAAGAGCTGGAATTTTCCTAGATCTCAACTTTTCAATTAATGATAATATTGCAGGGAATATTACCAATACGTTAAACAATAAAATACCTTGTCCTAAAATAATAATATCGAAAAAGTACTTTTTCACAATCTTGATATCATGAAATGCAAGAGGCAGAATGCTGACCACAGTTGACAAGGAACAAATCAATAAAGGAATAGTCAAGAGGT